ACCTACTATGTGCCAGATATGCTTCTAGGGGTTTGGTGACATGAAGATGAAATCTTTGCTTTCGTGGGGATCATTATTTGCTGGGAAAAACAGGGCCAAGAGGGTTGACCTGTTCAACAAGACTGGGACATCCAAACGGAAGAACTTGATTCCTTGTAGACCCCAGTACAGTCGACAGATGTCACAACCAGCTTGCTTTCAATTTACTTGGACAATTAAAATTTGTGGCAGACTAAAACACATTAGTAGTATAAAAGAAATGGCAGAAAATCCCTAAAAGAAAATTAACCTCATTTTCCAAAAAGAGCATACTTTATATAATATGTAGCTGAAACAGGAAAGTAACTGTTATATTCTGAAAGCACCTGTGCATTTGGAACTTCATCCTGCTTTTTTGGGAAGGAAATTCATACAAAGCTGTTTGGTTTTTCTAATTTGAGGAAGGCCTGGAGCATAGGGCAAAGCATTCATGATCACTTCTTTTCCTAAGTAGTTCTTTTTGTCCACATTATGCAGAATGATGTGAAACCATTGGTCATTTCTTTTTTAAACCTAGGACTCTGATGATGATATTGGGTCTACCAATATACCTATGCCTGACTGTATAATATTTATCATAAATACGGAGCGTGCAACTACTTGTTGTGTACTGTTGGGTAGATTATTTGACTTCTCTTCAGTTTTCCTCCTTTGGAAAAGGGTACAGCCTACCTGATTGTAACGATCAGAAATAAGGCACATAACAGGGTGTTCATCAAAATTTCTGGAACACAATTAGCTATTTAGTATAGCATAGTAAGTACTTCAAAATGATAGATATACGTATAAGTTTGGATTCTGGAACCAGCCTGGCTGGGCTGGAATCTTTGCTCTACCCTTTATCAGCTGTGTGATGTTGGGCAAGTAGCTTTACATCTTTTGGTCTCAGTTTCCTCACTGAGTTGGGGATGTTATTAGCCACTGCATCATAGGGTTTTTCAGGTGGCTAAAATGAGTTAATATATGTAAAGTACCTTTAAAAGCATATTTATATTATAGGGCTTAATAATGGTTAATTATTTTTATTGCTATTCCTTTCAACTGGCAGAGATTCCCACAGCTTTTTGAAGTTCTATATTAAAACCTGGGAGAAACACCTTGTCATATGTATAAAACACATTCCGTCGCACACCATCGTACTAGTTGATTTCAGTTTTCCATTGTATGGCCCTGTAGCCAACTCTCCTTTGATAAGTCCTTCGAGTCCTCAGTGGGAATTGCTTTTAAGTTTGACTGCTTTGCTGTAAGATAGTAATTCTTAGGTCTTGAGTTTATTCCTTTACTGTTTCTGGATTCCATAAAGAACATGGGAATAATAATTACTTGGAGGCAAAATAGGAAAGCATTGTGAAAACTGGTCTCAATTCTACTGTTACTCTCCAAAATAATTATATAATGTAGTAGTTTCTTTTTCCTTTCTTTTTCTTTTTGGTGGTGCTGGGGATTGAACATGTGACACAGGCACTCTACCAACTAAGCTATATCCCCAGCTCCAATGTAGTTTTGTGCAGATGAATCTCTGGGCATCTAATTTCAGTCAAGTCTTTTTCTCAATAGTGATTTAGCGAGTGCTCCTCTCCCTCAACATATGTAGTGTCAGTGTGCTATGTATAAGCCACCTAAAGGGCACAGAGAAGGGTTTTCACATTCAGAAAGGATAAGCAAGGAGCTACAGAAAGATATAACTAGCTTACTCACTATAAGAATCCGACTGTGAAACTGCTAATAAGGTTACATAAAGTGAATGAGACTCTGATTGGGGAGAGGTTTAAAAAGAGGCCATATTTATAGTGAACCTAAAACACAGAAGGAAGCAGCAAGTCATCTCAGCAATAGCAGCAAGGTATAATTTGAGCAAAGGCACAGAAATGTGAAAATACAGAGTTGTTCAGGGAACAGCTGATGGTGCTGGTTGTTGAAACAAAAGTTATATAGGCAGAAGGGTTAAGAGTTGAGGAACAAAGTTCTCTGTGTCCTCAAGGACTCCATTCAGTGAGTTCTTTCCAGGTTCGGGGGTGGAGCTTCTCTGACAACTCCCTTAGGAACAGGTCCTACGTGTGACCTCTATTTCCTCCTTGTCCCTGAAGTTTGTTTTTGATTTCAGCCCCCATATCTTTTGCTACTCTGCAAAGTAAAAAACAAAACAAAACAAAAACCCTCTTTTATTTTTCCCATTAGACTTTGTTGCTCTGGGATTTATGAACCTGTTACTCATTGTAATTTTGTATGTTTATGTCTTGGGCTGGGAATTGATTCCAGGGCCTTGTGCATGCTATTCAAGTGCTCTACAACTGAGCCACACCCCAGCTTCCACCTGTTGTAAAATATATGAAAAACAAAATGCCATATGACTTTGTACAAAAGATTGAGATCTTGGGGTAAAAGTGTGTGAGTCTAGCAAAGTGGGAATCAGGTAGTCCCATTTAGACTCTCCGAAATAGGGGTGGTAGGGGTGAACAATGACAATGAAGTGAGAAAATGATGCTTGGCATATAGGTGGTGCTCAATTAGTATTTGTTGAATAAGTGAGTCAAGGAAAAACTTGATGGCTTCTTGTGCATTAATTGCAAGGTATCTTTGGGGTATGACCATCTGTGAAAGAACATTTCCTATTTGGGAAAGAGGAAGAAAGGGGCGAAGAGCTATATGTATCCTGGCTGTCCATGTGATTATGGCCAGGCTTCCTCTGGAGTTAAGAATTCCTTGTCTGGCAGTTTTCTTTTTCAAGGTAGAAGGGTGTGTGTGTGTGTGTGTGTGTTACACAAAATACAGTGACCCAATGTTTATTTCCTTCTAGTCATGGTAAGATCTGAAGATTTTAGGTTATAAGACCATTCCTTTACCAGAGGAAGCTGTGGGTAAAAATGAAAACAAGCAAAAGATTTAAAAACAGGGAGTGGAGAGCTCAATTTTACTTGGCAAACATGTGCTTGGTACTAAGGATACAAGAAGACTTTTAGGGGGGTACTAGGGATTGAACTGAGGGTCTCATATGTGTTCATCCAGTGTTTTACCCTGAGCTACATCTCCAGCCCCAGAAGACTATTCTATAAATAAAGAGCTTTGATTGTGAAAAGATGTAACACCAGAGTACTTGATGCATGGGAGACAGTGCTTAACAGAGAACAAAGCCACCAGCAGCAGCCACCCTTATAGGTTTGTTAGGAATGCATACTCTCTGACCTCATCTCAGACTGACTGAATGTGAATTTGTCTTAACAAGTCCGTAGGTGAATAACTTGCATAGTAATACTTGAAAGGTGCTGACCAAGAGGGCAGGGATGATGTCTGGAAATGTTTCCTAGAAAAGGCAAATCCTGAGCTGTGTTTTGAGGATGCCTTGATTTAACCAGGTGATGTTCCAAGAAGAGGCAACAATGTGCAGTAGCATAAAAAAGCATAAAAAAGGGATGTTTTGGAAGCCAGTAGTCTGAAACTGCTAATTAAAAGGAATAGTGTGGGAGAGAGAAGGGGGAAAATAAAGGGAGATAGTAGAGGTCAGGCTGTGGCCAGATCTTGCTGCACATGTTCTAGGTTAAGGAGCTTTGACTAGACTTAAGCCATGCTAGAGATGTGTAATGACACGTTCAAGTTTGCTTTTAGATCACTGCAGGCTGAGGAGGCTGAAAACAGGAGAGGCTGAAGGATAGAGAAATTAATTAGGAAGCTAAGGCAATAGATGCATACAGAGATAATGAGAGTTTTAACTCAAGTAATGGTAGTGGGGATGAAGAGGAGGGGACAGTTTTAAAAAAACTTTAGGAGGTAATGAATAGATAGATGAAAGACTTCAGTATGTATTGCAGATGGGAGGCTGGGAGAAGACTGAGTGTTAACTGGATGACTCGCAGCCTTCTGGCGGGTATTAGTGGGTGGTTGCTCATGATGGCACTAGTAGATGAAAGAATAAAGGAGGATGAGCAGGTTTGAGAAGGGAAATTATGAGTTCAGTATTAAACATGCTCAGCTCAGGTGAACAGAAAACATGTACAGGAGGGGTAAAAAGAAGAAAACAAATAATGGGTGGAGAACAGGATGAGTCAAATCAAGGTGGAGAAGGAAAATGATGAGAAGGAAACAATGCTTTGTTCAGATATGGAGCTACAGTAATAATACATACCTGCTAATTTTCCTTCCAATTCACTTCCAGTTCAAAGGAGGCTGCCCCTTTTGACTAAAGCAAAGTCTCATTGGTGGTTTCCTATGTGGTGATGAATTCATTGTTGCCACCATTTGCTCTGTGGGGGAAAAAAAGTTTCTAACGTGAGGTTCAAGACATTCCAGGGTCAGAATCACCAAAACAGCTGCCCCCCCCCATATTGCCCCATGGGTAACTTTGCTTATGTCCCTAATACTGTTTCCAAAGTGGCAATAATACAATACCAATATGTGTGTGTGTGTTTGTGAGGGCCATTCAAGTTCTGAATTACTCGTACCACAAATCTAACCCTGAAAACTTTTACAGTTCTTTTAACTGCACCTTAAAATTCAGAATCCTTTGGATCATTTCCATAATTGTTTTCTGTTCAGTAATCTGTTCGTCTGCGCACGTTCCAGACTTCTGTGTCTCCAAGGCAGAAACTTGAGAAGTACTTAAAAAATTTTCTGATCGGTCATCACTAGCCAATAAAAAGCAGAAGGTTGGCACGTGGTTTTTATTAGTTCGGGCAGGAGGAAGATGTTCCCACCAGATCCTTTCGCTTTTGCCAGGTTCAAACATGGCGGGCCACAGCCAGCCCTTCCAGAACACTCAGCTCACTTTCCAGCAATCCCCTCCAGTCTTTGGCGCTCCTTTTTCACCTTCCGTCACACTCGATAGCTCAGGGTGTTTAGAGCGTGACAGCGACCCTGCTTCACGCCCCCACGCAGAGGCCCGCCCATCACCCCGCGCCAACCAATCGCAGACCGCGCTGCTGCGGCAGGCAGCGCCGGCCCGCCCCGCCCCCAGCCTCGCTGTGGCCTGCGGCTTCCCCGGCCGGTAGCGCCGCTTTTGGTCGCGTGAACTGGTCTAGTGGGACGGTAGGTCGCGAGCTCTTGCCGCGGGCTGCAGCTCAAGCTCAACTATTCCCGCTGTGGTCGTCAGCCCGGAGCCTCCGCCATGGACTTCGAGGACGGTAAGCACCGCCTCGGGCTGGTGGTCGCGGCATGCGGGAGGCGGGGTGGCCTGTGCTGGGGGTCTGTTTACCGTCTCAAGATGGCCGTGTGGGCTTTGTTCTGCCGGCCCGGAGGCCACCCGCCCTCCGCGGGCCCAGCGCCGGAACTTGGCCTCCTCGCCTACCCGCGCGCCGCTATTCGGCCCGCCTGGGTGTCCACTGCTAAAGGGGATCTGAGCGGTCCGCGCGGATCTCGGTGCGGAGAAGGAAGAGCACAGAGCGCGAGGGCCTCGGGGTTCGGGCCCCGGAATCGCCCTGCCCCCCTGGGCGTGCAGATTGCCTCCACTCCTCCAACTTCCCGGCCTCGGGCAGCGGGGCGAGCGGGCCGCCCCAGCGTGGCTTGCTTTGGCCCCAAGGGGCGGTGACCGTGATTGCCCGTTTAGTTAATCCTCAACCTGGGTGACTTCTTGCTAAATACAGTTTCCAGAAGCTTGTACGCGGTGTTGTTCCTGGTTGACTTAGTTCAAGATGAGTTTGAAGGGCGTCATATTTAGGTAGATATTTATACCGAACGAGAAGCAGTCTATTTCCTGGTTAGCAAACTGGGATATTTCATCCCCCTAAATTACCTAGACTTAAATACCTAATAGGCAGTAAATTTGTGAACCAAAGCACTTTTTTTTTTTTTAAGCTTGTGTTAAGTCAATCAGAATTTTGGCACAGCAAGCATCAGACGCCCTTCACATCAGTACACAGCAGCCTGTGTTGGATTTACTGATTAAATAAACGGGATTTTTACAAGACCTTTCAATCATCTCTGACACCAGTTCACAGGGTCATATAGTAGAATTATTTTAGTTGTCCTCAAATCTTGTCCAACTTTTATAGGACTTAGCATCAAGATAAAATGGTATGTAGTGACATCATTAAGGAGACATGGGAAAGAGTATTACACGGAATTAATCTTGAGTAACCGGGCACTTCTAAATAAAACCAAATCACTAGGAATTGTATGCATTCAGTCCCACCAAAAAATGATCTTTAACATTGAATGAACTTTTGATCTTTTGTTTTCATACGACAGATAGTTAAAACTGCCAAATCTAAGTATGGGAAAAGTGATAGAATAACTCTTTTGTTATTGTTTCTTTCTTTTCACCATATGCCTACAGCTATAAAGTGTTTGTAATTGCCCATCACTGCTCATCCTCAGCCACCTTGCTGTATTTACAAGATGGAATTTGACTTAAAGGGTTTATCTGAATATAATCCTGTGTACTGTTGTAGTGTTCTTTTGTATCCAAATGACCATTGAATTGAATTTTATTCTTTTCATCACTTGTAAACTTAAGTAAAGAATTTAACTTTGTGAAATTAGTTTTTGACAAAGAAATTGGCAATATGGTTTTTTGTGATGGTACATCTTGGGTAGCACAAACTCAAATATGCATTTCTCTGATAAGATCTTGAAATCAAATTAAATGATAAAAGAAATATTAACTTTGAAAACAATTTGTTAACATAGAATCAATTCTCAGATGTATCTGATTTTTACATTTTTGATACATAATATGTCTGCCCTTTTGTTACTTAATATAAATCAATACTAAATCGCCTCTTTTGACTGTTATTATAATATCAAGTGTTACAAACTAATTTTTACATTGGCATAACTTGGATGATGAACCTGTCATTTGGCTAGGTAGTGAAGAACATGAATACATGTTTTCCCAAATGAATATTGGTAATTATTTGTGCCCCAGATGTTCAGATAATTGAGTCAATGGCATTTAAAAATCGTGTTAATAGATGGATTTATAATTTTGGGTTTTTGTAAATACTGCACTAATTCCTTTTTGTTAAATATGTCTTCATAGATTATACACACTCTGCTTGCAGGAATACTTATCAGGGCTTTAATGGTAAGTATTCTCTTTCATTTGCTATTAAAATTGTTGAGGGAATGCATTTTGTTTTTTTCTTTCATATCCATAAAAGTAAAGAGGCAATGGAAAAAGCCAGTCCCACCTTATTTCAAACATTGTTTTGGCTTGTGATTTATTAGATTTCAGTGTTGTTATACTATCATTTAGGATCAGAAAAGGTTACTCAAATTGGTTTGAATTTTTGTCTTTATATTTATATTATGATTATTTTAACTTATTTCAAAGACTGACTACATTCTCAGTATAGTGGGGGTCTTTTTTTAAAATTGGTTTAAACATAAATAAGTGAATGAATGACAGCGGAATGCATTACAATTCATTATATTACACATATATATGCATTACACATTAAATTACAATATATTGCATATATCACAGTTTTTCATATTTCTGTATATATAAAATATTTTGACACCCAATTTGTGTCTTCATACATGTACTTTGGATAATGATATCTATCACATTCCACCATCCTTGTGGAGGTCTTTTTTTTGATGTTTAGTAATGTAGATTTAGTGGATTAGTGGCTTGGTTCTGTATATCTTTACAGCAATGTATCTTGTTTTTGATGGCTGGGGGAGGGTACCAGGGATTGAACTGAGGAGTGCTCAACTACTGTGCTACATCCTCAGCCATTTTTTGTATTTTATTCAGAGACAGGGTCTCACTGAGTTGTTTAGCGCCTGGCTGAATTGCTGAGGCTAGCTTTGAACTCAGGATCCTCCTGTTTCAGCCTCCCTCCTGTCTCAGCCTCCCCATCTGCTGGGATTACCGGTGTGTGCAGCTGCATCTTGTTTTTGAGGCCATTTCTTTCTCAGTGTGTTCAAATGTGTTGGTATATAACAGCTGCCTGGAGAAGTACATGAAAAGACTGATTGTTTATTGACATAAGCATGATGTTAGGTGCTAGCTAGATAAAATCACAAGAGAGATGTAGAATAGAATTGAATGTTATTTTGATAGTTATTAGAGTTAAGTCCCTGCCAGAGAGGATAATAACACAAAAAAGAGCATAGAACAATTTAAAAAGGTTAAAAAAGCATTATATGAAATACTTGAAGGAGTGATATCCTGTCTGCCAGAGAAAGGCAAAATCCAGCTATGGTAGAGAATATAATGTGCTCACAAAATAAAGCGTAAGTAGATGAACTACTAAGAAGACTGCCATTTTATAGAAATAATTACCATGCAGTTTTAATTTATTATCTCTTAACGATTAAGAGAAACTTTGGATTTGATGTATAAAAAAGGCTCAACATGTAGGAAATAGTCAATATATATTAAATGAATGCTTAAGAATATGTTTTTGAGAGGAAAAGTGATGTACAGTTACCAAAGGAAATTTAGTTTACTTCAACAGAGCCACGCATAGGTTAGATTGGGAACTGGAAAATTAGAAAACTTTACAAATTCAGATGTAGGGAATTTAAGACCTTAGACCTTTTTTTTAATATTTATTTTTTAGTTGTATTTGGACACAATACGTTTATTTTTATGTGCTGCTGAGGATCGAACGTACTAGGTGAGCGTTCTACTACTGAGTCCCAGCCCCAAGACCTTAGACTTTATTTTATTTTTAATATTTATTTTTTAGAAGTAGTTGGACACAATACCTTGATTTTGTTTATTTATTTTTATATGATGCTGAGGATCGAACCCAGGGCCTTGCATGTGCTCGACGAGCGCTCTACTGCTGAGCCACAGTCCTAGCCAGAAGACCTTAGATTTTAAAGATGATGATGTTAAGAAAATTAATAGAACTTGTAAGCTGACTAATAATGGGTAAAAATTTGATAGGGTTGAGTAAAAATGAACTCAGGATTTTAAACTGAAGTGAGTAGGTCTTGTTCTTTAACCAAAGAGAGATTTGGAAAGACAGAAGACCTGAAGAATTGGATTTACAATCTAAAGAAAGGAGGTGAAATGCAAAATCATTCAGCACCAGACATTTTTATGAATGTACAGTGTTACAAAAGAGATTTAATGCTGAATTTTTGTCTCTTTAATTTTAGTTCCAGTAGTGGTTCTCATCAGAGGGTGATTATTAGAGTCCTCTGGGGAGCTATTTCAAAGTATGTTTGTTCAAGTTATACCCTACACTTCATAAACTTAGTTTTAGGGCAAGCTATCCCTGACTATATATGTGTTGCAAAAGTACTCTGAATGAATTATTTTGGCTTTCACCTCTGGTTAAAGACCACTAATTGAAAATACTTGAGGTCTTAGTTAATTACATATCACAGTGACTAACTTTAGGAATTTGATTTGACTTCATTGGACAAATATTTATTTAGTGACTCCTGTGTATCAGATATTTTTCTAGGAGCTAGGACTGCAGCAGTGGAAAAAAAAAAAGGATAAATATTCCTTCCTGTGTGGCACTTCAGTCAAATGGGATGACATAGAAAACAAGATTAAAAAAGTAACAAATGTTGTATGTTAAAATTGCTAGGTAAAAAATGCTAGGGAGAAAAATAAGGTAGGAAAGGGGGACAGGTGTATATGTGTAAGTTGTGATTTTAAAGAATTTGGGGAAGGACTCACAAAACAGGTGACATTTAAGTTCAGACGCAAACCTTGAGGGCTATCTAGAGAAAGAACTTCAGGAAATAAAAGATATGTAGGTACCCAATGAAACCAACAATATACTTCATTGTTAGCACCATATTTTCTAGCTTTCTACTGAAATGAAGTATAAGGCATCAGAGAAAATGTCAAGATATGATTTCCTCCATACTATTTTTTGAAAGGAAGTTATATTTCCAGCGTTTCCATGCTTTTCGTTTTGTTCATAATAACTCTTTTTATATAAATAGCCCATAGAAAAAGGAAGAACTTTCCAGGTAGAGGGAAATGCATGAACAAAGCTAGGGGTGAGTATGCTGTGCTTCTCAGAGACTTAACTGGTTTGACTAGAATAGATTATTTTTGCTGAGCAATCTGAAGACTAAGGCCAGAGAGGTGAGGTGTAGCCAGAAGGCATTGAAAATCAAAAGTAATTTACATATATATGAGAAGCTATAGAAAAGACCAGAAAGAGGTAAGTAGTGAATAGTGCCAATAGGGGAAGAGTATTCCTGGCCTGGCAAGCTGCAAAGTGCATAAACTAGCATACACCTGTTCTAGAAACTGCAAGGAGCATAGTGTATCTGGAATGCACAAGAGATGTTGGAAGAGAAGAGGTAATGGGGCAGATCATATAGAGTAAATTTCCTCAACTTTGACACTGTTGACATTTTGAATTAGATAATTTTTTGTTGTGGGGCAATGTCTTGTTAGTTGAAAAGTGAACTCAGGATTTTAAACTGAAGTGAGTAGGTCTTGTGCTTTTACCAAAGAGAGATTTGGAAAGACAGAAGACCTGAAGAATTGGATTTACAAGTCTAAAGAAGGAGGTGAAATGCAAAACCATTCAGGGCCAGGCATTTTTTTCCTTATGAATGTACAGTGTTACAAAAGAGATTTAATGCTGACTTCTTTTTTCTTAATTTTAGTTCCAGTGGTGGTTCTCATCAGAGGGTAATTATTAGAGTCCTCTGGGGAGCTATTTCAAAGTATGTTTGTTCAAGTTATACCCTACACTTGTTTAGTAGCATCCTTGTTCTCTGGCCCCAGTTGTAATAATCAAAAATGCTTTCAGACAGTGCCAGTGTCTCTGTGAGCCCCAAATTGCCCCTGATTAAGAACCACTGATATATGACCTTTGGGTTTTTTTTTTTTTTTTTTTTTTTTTTAGGGGTTTGACTTTTACTTGGAATAAGATGGAAGCTATTGGAGGATATTGAGCATTGAACATGATATAACTTAAATTTGCCAGAATTTTTCTGGCTTTTGTCTTCAGAATAAACAAAAAGCTAGTAAAAGTAGAAGTGGGAAAACCAGTTAGGAATCTATGATTGTGATCCAAGCAATAGCATGGATTTCATTCAAATTAATAGGTCCGTTTTATTAAGTCCTGAGTAAATTGCTCTCTTATCTAACACTAATAGTAAAGAGATAAAAGAAGTGTTATTTTTTGTGTACTCTATAGTGCCTGACATAAAAGTGTTCAGTAAATGTTAGTTTTTCTATGATAGCATAGTAAAATAAACAGAATTAAAGAAAAAGGAAATAACTAAAGGATTTAGTACCCAGAGGCAGCCACTGCTAACTCAGAAAGGGCAAAAACAACAAGATTTTTTTGCTTTCTGTGTTTGACTAAACCTAGATTATATATGTTTAAAAAAAAATTTTTATGGACACAATACCTGTGTGTATTCAGTTTAATTTATTTATTATTTTAATGTGGTGCTGATGATAGAACCCAGTGCCTCATATGTGCTAGGCAAGTACTCTGTCACTGAGCTACAACCCCAGTCCTTAAGATTATATTTTAATGTGAGTCCTTAGAGGAAAACATTTTTTATGTTAAACTTTATCTCAAAATTGTTATCTCTAGGAGAAAAACAGTTGTGTATTATACTACATCTTAAAACATTTAAGACAAATAGTTGACTATTTTATTAATGTAGAAATGTGTTGCTCATACTGTGGTAGCCATTATCATAGGAAACTATTGAACACTTGAAATATGGGTAGTCTGAAATGAGAGGTTCCATGAATAAATTACGTACTGTATTTGAAGCCTTAGTATGAACAAACGTTGTACAAATCTCATTAGTACTTTTTTATATTGCTAAATGTTTTGTACTCTGTTACATTAAAATCCATTGGTATGTCTTGTACTTTGAATGGACCTTTTTACCATGTATGATTCTGTAATGTTAGTTATTTATAAAATATTCATTTGCTGCATTATGCAGACAGGTTTTATTGTATGATATTTTAAAAACCAGTTAATATTAACAACAGTCTTATAAGAAAAACATTGAAGTATTGACACGCTGTCAAACTGATAAAAATTTTTTAATTCTAATTTCACTTAAAGGTATGATTTTTATCATTGGCAACAAGTAACATTTAGCTTTAGTTGTTTTCCTTGAAGCACCAGTTTACTTCGTTCATTTTTGAGAAAATGTTTGCTACATGCTCAAGTCTGAAAACCAGTTTTTGACTTTCAGTCTTTCTAGAAAAGAGCATTTTCCTAGTAAAAAGTGGCTAATTTAATTCATAAATGAAACACTTGAGGATGGCTTTTCTTGGAAGGATCTGGGATGCTTTGGTAGGCTGCAGAAATGGTTCATGTATACTTCCTCTTTCATTACATAGAATGTAGAAAAAGATATGGTTACATCAAAGATCATAATGTAATAAAAATAATTATTGCTTCATCAAGGACATATTTAAGTGAAACTAATATTTTTATTTATTTTTTTCATTGTGGGTGTGTTATATTAAGTCTGGTGCCAGCTACTGCCTTAATTTGTGGCTGAAATGCCAGCAGTTTTACCCATCAGTACTTTGTACCTTCAATGTCAACACCCTGAAAAAGGCAAATAATGCCTTATTATTTATTAAAATATTTTTGACCTTGTGAATCCCTAGAAAAATGGTCTTAGCAAATCCCAGGGATCAGCAGACCATTTCATGAGAACTATTCCTATAAGATATATAAAAAAATTAGTGGTCTCTCTCTTCTCTTAGAGGACCTGCCCGTTTCCCTTGAGAATGTTTCCTTTTTCCCTTTTTCTGTCTCTACTAATAAACTCATGCCTGTTTCTCTGAAACATAAGATTCTTAAAAAATCAGATCCTTAGCACAAAACTGGTATTTAAGATAAGGCATGAACAACAGAATATAAGACTTAAAATGGTAGCACCACATAAGATATACAGGCTTTTGTAAATAGTAGAGAGACAATATCAGTAAACGTTTTATTGATAGGTTATTTCAAGTAGACTTTAAAAATTAGAAGGTTTCACTAAGCAGGTGTTTGAGTGGTAGAAGAAAATGTTTCATATATAAACAACAGTTTGAAGCTAGACAGGAGTATGTCTACGAGATTTGGGGGAAATCATTTCACATTTCTCAAATCTATAAAATGAGAAGATTAAATTGGATAGTTTAGGTTGCTTCCAGGTTTAAAATGACAAAACTCAATTTTTTCAGTTCTTTTCATTATTAGAAATATTAAATTATTATAAGTAATGTTTTAAAAATATAAATTCAAGTATTTGTATTCACTGTTGTACATAAAATATGGGGAGGGTAGTAATGAGGCATTTTAAGGGACTTTATAGGAAACATTTTAAATAGTAGTTTTAATTTTAAATTTTTATAGTCAATGTAAATTAATTTTATTACCTCATTGTATTTATTTTTCATATCAGAGGTTAGGATATAGGTAGAATTGCAGTGTATTAAAATATACCTAATACCCTTGTTGTGTCACAACTTTTTTTAGTGTTTGTATTGCTAGAATTCATAATCATGTCCTTTATTCAAGAGAATTTGAGTGTTTGTTGTTTGTTGAGTCATTATTTATAGACATGGTGCCAGTGATTGATCCCAGTCTGTGATTTTACTTTTTTAAAATATCTGTTTCAGTTAATGTGAATGGAGCTAGTAAAAAATGTAGCTGTTTCTGAGTTTTTAGACATTTGAGGAGAATTAAATGCAGAAGATTAAGTACAGTAGGTTTATGTCACAGCATGCTTAGGACAAAAAAAATCATCTCTTTTCACTTTATTAAATGCTGACTTATCTTGAGAATAGGAATCATGTATTATTAATTATATATGCTGTAATATCAAATACAAGACCTTATAGCAAACATAGTTTTTTTAGTCAAGTAAGTATTGGTTAAATTAAAAATAATTCTAATATAGAATTTTGTAGTTGATAATATGCTTTTCTCTGAAATACAAAGCTTTGTTAGCAAGTAGTCGTTTTGATGTGTTCTCTTTCAATGTCTCATATATGAGTTTAGCTTAATTAATGACAAAATTATCATCTCAGGTGATTGATGTGAATATCTTGTTTTATACCAAGTTTTCTGAAGAAAATGATGTATTATTAAAGTTTCCTCATTGACTCTCTTTTAGGAATGGATCGCGATTATGGCCCTGGATCTTATGGAGGTCTGACATTCAAGGATATTTATCTAAAAATTCTTCTTTTGAGTGCCAGTAAAGGTGAGCATCATTTAATTTTTTTCTTTTTAAACTCTTATAGGGATGGATCGTGACTATGGCCATGGATCCTATGGGGGTCAAAGATCCATGGATTCCTACCTAAACCAGTCATATGGCATGGACAATCACAGTGGTGGTGGTGGGGGTAGCAGGTAAATTGCTTAATCACTTGGCCAAATAATTAGACAACTATAAGATTCTGGATATATTATTTTAAGTATTCTTTAGGCATGTTATAATTCTTGAACTTTGTTGTTTAGAATTGAATAATCACCTTAAATATTTAAAGGTGTTAATGCTCATAAAAATTATCTCAGGAGCACTGCCAGACATTATTTTACAGAAATCTCAGCTAACTATTATCATTTCAATATAATAGAGTAAGATATTCTATCTTCAGCAGTGAATTTTTTTTTAACTTTTACTTTTAACTCCTTACCAGTCAAAATGTCTGAACAACTGATACGAAAATTTGTTTCTAAAAATATTACTTGTGAAGCTTAACAATTAAAGAAAAAATATCTTTTCAAATGTGGGGTGTTATGTAAAGCCGGAGAATGGGTTTAAGTGAATCAGTTTAGCAACATTCAGTTTCTATAAGAAACATTTCAGAAAGTTTTTTTTTTAAATTCTAAAGTAAGTTGTAAGAGCATATTGTGATAATAAGAGTGTTCTTTAAATCATATCCAGGTTATTTATTGGCAGTTAACTGTTTACAAAACACTTGTTCTCCAGGTTAGGAGCATTGTATTAAAGCCTCATATACTGTACCTTCGATTACAGTCTAGATTGTATCTATATATCATGGTTGATACTTTGTAAAACTTAAGTTTATTTACAGACTTTAGGATTGACTGAATTTCAGGAAAGGGGGGTTTACTTTTTGAGGCACAAAGCTTCCTGCTGAATATTAAGTAAAACTAAGTTAGGAGACATTTGAAATCATCGTTCCTTCTTCATAAATTGAAGGATCCGGATTCCTTAATGATGGACCGAATGATGCTTACTTTTCTTCTTTCTGCTTCAAGTGTGCCACTATGATTTATAGTAGAGAAAAATCAAGAAAATGAACAGTTAACTTTTTTCTTTTGTGGAAGAAGTTTTGAAATACGTAGTTGAGAAGAGGAATAATTTTTATATGACTACTAGTATTTAGAAATGAATAGTATCTTCTGTTTAGTGATCTGTAATTAATTGAAGTAATGTAACACATTTAAATGCTTGGAAATGTCAGTTATTGCCCTATTATGTTGTAAATGTAATGTGTGCATAAACTGTTTCTGTAGATGTTATCGTTTATCTCATGTAATTGTGGGCCTTTATAAAACTGTGTTGTAAGATAACAAGTAATTTTTGTAATCCATGTTTTAGTTTTGTGAGAAGTAAGATGACTTTTTTTTTTCTGTTGATTTAAAACATGGAGACTGTGTGCTCTCCTTTTTTAGAGTAGTTTAATGTGATAATTTTCTGATAGGAAATAGTTTTTCAAATAATTGAAGACATTTTAAAATGTGTTCTTTCTCATCTGCCTTGAAAATTCATATGCAGAGGGTATATGTTGGTGATCTTTTACTTTTTATGTTTTAGTTTATGTGTTTATCCTTCTAGATTTGTTAGGTTTACTAGTCTACAAGTAAAAAGTGATTAGGGATTGATTATTCACCTTGGCCTAAGTTTGGCAGATTGTCAAAATTTTATAACCTGAGATAATTCCTTAAATTTTGATTATTACAGACACAAGGAGGCAGCTTTGTGATAATAGATTATTGGGGGTGCGAAAGGATCGCTCTCTGTCACAAATAGCCTACATCTATTTAGTCTTCAATTTGTGTCCCAATGGAAAGCCAAAATATTGTAAATGCTTTGTGATTTTCAATTTAGGGATGGTGTCAAAGAAAGTTTGAATAGTTTGTGAACTTTAGCAAATGACCTTTTCTAAGACTAGGGCTGGGCTTAAATAATCACAGACTAATCTTTTCTTCATCAAATTGAAATGCTGCTAAAAAGCAGATATTTAAGCTAAGGTTTACTATTATCAATTCATATTTAGAAACTGACTCAGATAGCTTTCTATCTGGTGTCATGTTGAACTGCCCAGCCCTAATCAAGTGTGAACAAAAGTAGAACTGTGCAAATCAGTATGGTATAAATGAATTTTAGTTGATAAATGTCATCTGATAATTTGTCTTTTGAATTGTCTAACATTAGTAAGCTTACTTTTGTTTTTTCCCTTACTGTGCAACTTTTCCAGGTTTGGACCTTATGAGTCTTACGACTCCAGGTCTTCTCTGGGTGGGCGAGATCTGTACAGATCTGGCTATGGTTTTAATGAACCCGAACAAAGCCGCTTCGGAGGTAGTTATGGTGGTCGATTTGAGAGCTCCTACCGGAATAGCCTTGACTCTTTCGGAGGTAGAAACCAGGGCGGGTCTAGCTGGGAAGCACCTTACTCCCGTTCAAAATTGAGGCCTGGGTTTATGGAGGACAGAGGAAGAGAGAATTACTCTTCCTACAGCAGTTTTTCTTCACCCCATATGAAGCCTGCACCTGTAGGCTCTCGGGGGAGAGGAACGCCTGCTTATCCTGAAAGTACGTTTGGAAGCAGAAACTATGATGCTTTTGGAGGACCATCAACAGGCAGAGGCCGAGGCCGAGGAGTAAGTACAACAGAATCTTTTCAGATTCTTTTCACTAGTCAACTCTTTTAAACCCTTTCAAGACCATGGTTTTCAACTAGAATAAACACTGTTCATCCCAGTGTATTTTAAGCAAAAGCTGAGTCATAAACATAAGTTTTAGGTTGACTATAAAAGTTTTTCTAGCACCTCAGAAAATAGGTGGCAGTTTGAGATGAATGTTCATAAAATTATGCCATATCTCCCTTTATTAAAAAGGTGAGGATGTTAGGTTTGGTCTAAAAGGGGTTAAAAGGAGTTGCATTTTTCCTTGTAAACACTAGCAGTTTGCTGGTGGGACAGTTCTTGGATTATTGTAAAAGGTAACTGAACCCTTTTTGAGCTTTTGAGTAGGTTAAAGGTGCAATGTATGATAAAATGTTTATGCTTTGTTACTAAACCCTAGCAGTTAGAATTTCTTTAGAGCTCTATGTTTCACCTTAAACACAAGAGACTAAAAGTTGGTGATAAATCAGGAGAGCATGGTGAAGTCGATGTGTATAATAGATTGTAGAATGATTTGTGGTCAGTATAATTTTGATAACTTATTGTCTTACAGTATGTCCTGTTGGTGGTTGCTTTATTTCCCCTTGTGTCTCTAGCTTTACTATTGAGAAATAATTTTCTACCTATAAAATGTAAGACATGTTTATGGCTCCTTCCTAGACAATAATATTTTGTAAATTATTACTTAAATGAGTATATATATTAGTCCTCAGGTGTTTAATTTCAGGAAATATAGAGATTATATTTTATGTTTTTAGGTTATGTGATTGATATAAAATTTTACCTAGTAAGTGTATGTAGATTTTGGGATTATTTAGTTTGATCGTATTAAAGACTACTGTATTTTTGCTATAATGTAAGAATTTCTTTGGAAGGCAATTGCTCTTAATATTCTCTTTGCAGAGGAAAGTACCTGAAATAAAAAATGTAGTAGAGCACATATTTTCAACTGTTCATTAGCCCTTGGTACGACAGTATAGTTTGTCATACTTGTGTAGAAATTTTGCAGTTTTAACAGTTACTCTTTACTTATGTAAAATGCATTGCACCTTTAATGGATAGTTAACAAAGATTTTTCTGATGTGACTACATAGATTACCAAAAAAGATTAATATGAAACTACTAGGTTAGTTAGGTATACCTAAACCATAATATACAAGTGTAAGCAACCGTGTTGCTCTTCCACCATATTTGATGATTGTAGGTTAATTGAAAGTAGTCAGAGTGGTAATAGACTTGCTTTGGGTTTTGAAATTGAAAATTCATTCTAGTTTGGAATTTGGAAAACACTTAACATTGTTAATATGTTAGGTGAAGGATTTTTTTTCCTAATAAGAACCTCACATGTCAATTTTGTTTTCATGATAGTAAATCAAGTATTTCTGTACTTTGTATTTACATACATTCTAGTCTGAATGGACTTCTCTCTCTTTCCTCCTGTTAACCAAGTAGATGAGCCAAGTAGGATCTTCATTTTTAATCTTCACTTGTACAATTCCCATTGGGTCCTTCTCTTCAGATTACTCCTCAATCTTTACCTTCTAAAAGTAAGATTAGCAGAATAAATTTCTGTGTACATGTGACTTCTTGGTGTAGTGGAGTTTGCTAATGGTAAGAGAAGAGGAAGGGATATAAAGAGTCGTTTGGTGGCATGACTCTTCGTCTGTAAACTTTTGCTTCTTGGGCTTCTGGGTCAGAATGTTTCTCTAGGTAAGAATGTGAATGGAACGTCAGATGCAATTCTTTATCTGAAGTGTGTTTTGGAAGTTGATGCATGGTTATGCTTTAACTCTCCTATTTCATACTAATGTTCCATCTCGCCTTCTCATTCCCTTTTTCAACAGGGAGAAATCCTAAATGATTTCTGGATCTTTTTTACTTCAAACTACAAATATGATCTTCTTTGTGTATCTTAGCTTTTAGCCAGGTTTTAGTAAAATAAAGATTTCTTTTAAGGTCTTTTCATGGAAAAACACCAATTAGGAACTCTGAAGAGGAGTTGTCAGAGAGTTGTACAAGTGGTAACCTTCTGACAGGCACATATGTTGTTCATGATCTCAGATAATTTTGAATTGTAAAAATTAACAAGTAGGAAATATTCACATTTGTTCTACTGGAAGTAAAAACACTAATTCACTGGATTCAAGTTCATGTAATACTTTACAAAGCTTTTTAATGTGTTTTTTCCAAGTGGACATGTAAAATTTAGTCACATTTCAGGGAATTTTCAGGTGAAAACTAGTAAATAGATAAAGTGAAAATTTTATATGAATTTATATTTTATCGTTGGACAATATGCTGATATTTTTTGATTTCACAAATTTACAGCATATGGGTGATTTTGGAAGCATTCATAGACCTGGAATTGTTGTTGACTATCAAAACAAACCCACCAATGTGACAGTTGCTGCTGCAAGAGGAATAAAGAGAAAAATGATGCAGCCATTTAATAAGCCCGGTGGAACCTTTATCAAGAAACCTAAGCTAGCAAAACCTATGGAGAAGATGAGCCTCAGCAAATCGCCTAGTAAGTAAGAAAACATAATTGCTATGGTTTAGGATACTCTTTATTTTTTGAAATTTATTGCTTTAAGGTAATTTTTCAGTGTTTATGTAGAAAAGCTTCATAATAATTATAACTATGCACATTAGATCTGTGAATCCCTAGTATAGTTATTAATTAGTCATGACTGCCCAGAAATACTTTTTAAATTTACACACCCTTGTCTAGATCTTTTTTCTGAGTCGTGTGAGGTGGGGCCCGAACATCTGTATTTGTAAAAAGGTAATACACATAATTTTGATTCACACCCCTTAATTGGCTGTTATAGTTTTTGTTGAAGGCATTGTTAATGAAGAGTGGTTTGTTATGTCAGATAGAATCTCTTTGTGAGGACAAAGAAAGTTTTCCTGGTCCTTTGGCAATAGGGAAAACTGTTCTAGAAAACTCATTTGCTTTTAATCTTCTGGACATGATGACTCTTAGAGATACTTCTATTTATATATTGATGAGTGCAAATTTTTTTCTAAATTTTGAATTTGTCCTAATTAGTTACACATGACAGTAGAGTGCATCTTGACACATTATACACAAATGGAGCACAGCTTCTCCTTCTCTCTCTGAACATGGTGTAGAGTCACACAGATAGTGCAATTCTACATGTATCTAGGGTAATAATATTTGTCTCATTCCACTGTCTGTCCCATCCCCAACGTCCTCTCCTCTCCCCTCACTCCCCTCTACACAATCCAAAGTTCCTTCCTCCCCCACTCCCACCCCATTATGGATTAGCATCTGCTTATCAGAGATAACGTTCAGCCTTTGGTTTTCTTGGGTTTGACTTATTTTGTGCTTAGCATGATATTCTTCAGCTCCATCCATTTACCTACAAATGCCATAATTTCATTGACCAGTGCAAAATTTTGAGCCAAACTGAAAATGGAATTAAAGTTTTACTCATAATAGCATCAAGCCAGGCAGGGGGATGTGATCTGTAGTTCCAGCTACTTGGGAGGCTGTAGTCATAGCATCACTTAAACCTAGGAGTTTGAGAAAAGCCTTGGTAACATAGTGAGACCTTATCTCAAAAAAAAAAAAAAAAAAAAAAAAAGCATCAAAAATAATACATTACTTGGGAATACATTTTAAAAAAAAGCAAAACTAAATTTTGAAAATTATACAATGTTGTAAGATATTCAATCTAAACAAATGGAAAAACTAAACTAGGTTAGAAGACAAAATTGTCAAAATGACATTACTTTCTAAACTGATCTATAGATTCATCACAATCTTTATCAAAATTCCTGTTGTGTAAGTACTTAAACCTCATGATTTCAAAACAAAGTGATGGTAATCAAGACAGTGTATTTAGATCAGTGGAATAAAGTTGAAAGTCTAGAAATAAACCCGGACATCTGTGGAGAACTGGTTTATAACAAGGGCATCAAGATTTTTCAGTGGAGAGAGAATAGTTTTTTTTTTTTCTAATTTGTTATATATGACAGCAGAATGCATTACAGTTCATATTACATATATAGAGCACAATTTTTAATATTTCTGGTTGTATACAAAGTATATTCACACTACTAGTGTCTTCATGCATGTACTTAGGTAATGATGTTCATCTCATTCCACCATCTTTCCTACCCCCATTCCCCCTTGCCCTCTTACCCCTTTGCTCTATCTAGAGTTCATCTGATCCTCCTTTGCTCCCCCTCCCAACCCCACTATGAATCAGCCTCCTTGCGTCAGAGGAAACATTTGGCATTTGGATTTTTGCGATTGGCTTGCTTCACTTAGCATTATATTCTCCAACTCCATTCATTTACCTGCAAATGCCAAGATTTTATTCTCTTTTATTGCTGAGTAATATTCCATTGTGTATATATACCACATTTGATTTATCCATTCATCTACTGAAGGGCATCTAGGTTGGTTCCACAGTTTAGCTATTGTGAATTGTGCTCCTGTAAATATTGATGTGGCTGTATCCCTGTATTGTGCTGTTTTTAAGTCCTCTGGGTATAGACTGAGGAGTAGGATAACTGGGTCAAAAGATGGTTCCATTCCCAGTTTTCCAAGGATTCTCCATACTGCTTTCCATACTGGTTGCACTAATTTGCAGTCCCACCTGCAGTGTATGAGTGTACTTTTCCCCCCACATTCTCACCAACACTTATTGTTGTGTTTTTAATAGCGCCATTCTGATTGGAATGAGATGAAATCTTAGAGTGAGTTTTGATTTGCATTTTTCTAATGCTAGAGATGTTGAACATCTTTTTCATGTATTTGTTGATTTATTGTATATCCTCTTCTGAGAAGTGTCAATTCAGTTCTTGGCCCATTTATTGATTGGGTTATTTGTTTTTTTCATGTTTAGCATTTTGAGTTCTTTATATACCCTAGAGATTAGTGCCCTATCTGTTGTGCAAGTGGTAAAAATTTGCTCCCAAGATGCAGGCTCTCTATTCACCTCACTGATTGTTTCTTTTGCTGAGAAGAAGCTTTTTAGTTTGAATACATCCCATTTATTAATTCTTGATTTTAATTCTTGCACTATAGGAATCTTATTAAGGAAGTAGGGGCCTAATCCAACATGATGAAGATTTGGGCCTACTTTTTCTTGTATTAGATACAGGGTCTCTGGTTTAATTCCTAGATTCTTGGTCCACTTTGAGTTGAGTTTTGTGCATGGTGAGAGATAAGGGTTTAATTTCATTTTGTTGCATATGGATTTCCAGTTTTTCCAGAACCATTTGTTGAGGAGGCTATCTCTTCTCCAATGTATGTTTTTGGTGCTTCTCTCTTTTTGCAAAGGATTGCTTTAGCTATTCTGGGTGTCTTATTTTTACAGATGAATTTCATGACTGCTTTTTCTATTTCTATGAGGAATGTCATTGAGCTTTTGATTGGAATTGCACTAAATCTGTATAATGCTTTTGGTAGTATGGTCATTTTGACAATATAAATTCTGCCTATCTAAGAACAAGGAAGGGCTGGGGTTGTGGCTCAGCGATAGAGTGCTCGCCTCGCACGAGCGAGACCCTGGGTTCCATCCTCAGCACCACATACAAAAATAAACAAGTGAAATAAAGGTGTTGTGTCCAACTACAACCAAAAAAATAAATATGTAAAAAAAAAAAAAAAGAACAAGGGAGATAGGGAGATCTTTTCATCTTCCAAGGTATTCTTTAATTTCAGTGTTCTGTAGTTTTCATTGTAGAGGTGAAAATAGTATTTTTGACAACTGGCTAGCCACATGCCAAAGCTAAAATGCAAGACCTACTTGGAAGATCTAAAACTATAAAACTCTTAGAAGAAAATACAGGGATAAATTTTCATGATTTTGGATTTGGCAAGGAATTTGTAAGACAAGATGAACAACAAAAAATAGGTAAATTGTCTTTATCAAAATTAAAACTTTGTGCTTCAAAGAACACCATCAATAGAAAATGAAAAAACAACTTATATAATAGGAGAAAATTATTTCTGTATGTCGTGCATCTGGAAAGCACTTGAATCCAGAATGTATAAAGAATTGTTAGAACTCAGTAACAAAACGACAACTCAAAAGTGGGCAAAGAATCCGAACAGACATTTGTTTAAAAAAATATATATATAAATGGCAAATAAGCATATAAAAAGGTACTCAATAATTAGGTATCAGATAATGCAAATCAAGACTGCAATCACATACTACTTCACATCCATTTGGATGGTTAGAATAAAAAAGATACTAAGTTTTAACAAGGATCTGGAAAAATTAGAACCTTTGTACACGTTTAGTGGGAATGTAAAATGGGGAAGCCACTTTGGAACATAGTCTGGCAATTCTTCAAATGAATAAACAGAATCATCAAATGACCCAGCAATTCCACTTCTATGTTTATATCAAACATAAATGAAAATATTAGTTCACACATAAACATATAGTCAAATACTTCATAAAGATGTTTTGGTCAATGATAAGTACATATAGAATGATATATATCATATATTTTAGATGTGTAGTACACTATACCATCTAAGTTTGTGTAAATATACTCTGTGATGTTCACATAACAAAATAGACTAATGATGCATTTCTCAGAACATAGCCTGGTTGTTTAGCAACTTATGATTGTATATGCAGCATTATTTATAGTAGGTAACTGGATAAAAATCCAGATATTATGAGATGAATGGATAAACAAAATAGGGTCTGTCCATATAGCAGAGTGCTATTTGGTTATAAAATGGAATGAAGTACTGATCCTGCTATAACTTGAATGAACCTTGAAAGGATTATGATAAGTAAATGAAGCCAGTCATAAAAGTCCATATATTATATGATTTATTCATACGGACATTTAAAATAGGGAAATCCTTTAGAGATAGAAAATAGAAAATGATTATTTTGGGCAGTAGGGTGAGGAGTTGGGTAGTACCTGAAGAATATCCAGTTTCTTTTTTGAGTTGATAAAAATGTTCTAAAATTGATTGTGATAATGGTTGCATGTATCTGTGAATACATTGAAAACTATTGGATCGTATAATTTAGAAGGGGGAATTATAATCCATAAAGCTCTTTTTTTTTTTTTTTTTTAATAAAAGCACAGAACCAAATTACTCTTTTTTTCTCATTACTTTTATTTATGTTTCTTTGTTACTTTTGTTGTTTTTCATTGTGACGTATCTCTAAACGGGAGCAAGTATATCTGAACAAATTATAGTAAGCCAAGGATATAAATAAAAAAGCTAAGGAAATATATTTATCAGCATTCTGTGAAAACATAATAGTAAAATTGTATACAGTAAATGTTTTGCCTGTGCATTGAATTACTTTTATTTTTCAAATTTTTGCCTTGATTATTACTAAAGTATTTAAGTCTTAAGTAGGTGGTATTACAAAGGTGCAAAAATTACTCTCTTCAGGATTAATAATTAATTACATAACTCATTTGGAGCTGAAGAAGGTTTAGATAATTGTAATAAATGAATCTTTTCAAGTTCTGGTGAAAGTTTTTGATGTTTTTACACTTAGTTTTAAAAACAAGATGTAGTGAGGATTACAGTGAATGTCTTAGAGTGTGTTTTTTGCTGTCAGAATTGCTAAGAAAGTGGTGGATAGCCTTTAAGTAATTTCCCCAAAAAGGGAAGAGGGAGTAAAGCATGAAGACCTAAGTAAGTCCTGATTTTTTAAAAACTTGTGTTTATATTATATATTTTTGAAATACAGTATGTTTGTTTTTTAAATTTTGTCTCCATTTAAGTTGCTTAAGGATTGATAAATATCTTTATTAAAAATGGGATTTTAGTAATTGCTAATAATAGTAAGCTGGCACTAATTGAATGCTTATTGGACTTTAGACACTGTTAGAGAGCATAGTGTATATTACTTTTATAATTCTCACGTGAACTTGCTCAGGTATGGGTGTGGGTATCAAACCTCTCTACAGCTGACGCAGCAGGAATAGAGCAGATAAATAATTTGCCACTTAGGTCAGATAATCAGTAAATGGCTAAAATCCAGGATTTGTTTCAGGGCAAGTTTTGGTTCACAGAAACCCTGCTCTTAAGCTTCCAAATGTTTATAACGGAAATTTATATTATTTTTTCCTTTTATTTATTTATTTTTATATTTATATTTTAGTTTTAGGTAGAAACAATATCTTTATTTTTTATTTTTAATGTGTTGCTGAGGATCAAACCCAGTGTCTCATGCATGGTAGGTGAGCACTCTACCACTGAGGCACATTAAGTAATACTTAATGCTACTGGATTGGACACTCCAGCCCTCTTTTTATTTTTAAACAACTTTTTTCCCTAATTATGACATTATAGACATTTTGATTTTATATTTTTAAAATTGAAGTTACAATATTAGATTCTTTCCTCAAAATATATGAACTATAATGTAAAACTTAGGATAAGGATTAAATACTATACTTACATCTACTTTCCTGTTATGATACCTACATTATTTAATGAGAAATAACATTCTGGGACTAGAGATGTAGCTCTGTGGTAGAGCACTAGCCTAACATGCATGAGACCTGGTTTAATCTCCAGCACTGCCAGAAATATATTTTGACAATCTGATACCAAGTTAGTGGAGTACCTTTTTTTATACCAGAGGTTGAACCCAGAGGTGCTTTACCATTGAGCCATAACCCCAGCCCTTTTTATTTTTTTGAGACAGAGTCTTGCTGAGTTGCTTAGGGTCCTGCTAAGTAGCTGAGGCTGGCTTTGAACTTGGTATCCTTCTGCCTCAGCCTCCCAAGTCACCAGGATTACAGGTGTGCACCATCATGCCCAGCTGGGGGGTACCTTTTATAGTGTGTTCATTGATAGATATTTATTTACCATGTAAGAAATTTTACCTGGTATTAGTAGAATAGGATAATTCAGCTAATTGGTCTTCTTGGAACAGATTTGAAAGATGCATTTTACAATTACAATTACAGTTATGTAAATATTGCAAAGTTTGTTATAGAAACTGACTTACCATTAAGGCAGATATATGTCCTTTTCCTCTTATCCTTTTTTTCTTCTTAATAAAACTTGAGAGTAGTACAGGGGTAGCTAAGAGTAAAGCCAGAATTCTTTAGTTAAATCAAACCTTCTCTTCAGGTATGCCTTCTCTTTTCAGGCATGAAATGGATAACTTAAAAAGATATGTACTGAATTTTCCAGTATATGAGTTCTTCCTATGTTACAGTAGTATAGACTGTATGTTTGATAGAAAATTAATAAGAAAGGAACCATATTCTTTAATTTGCCTGGAGGTTAAAAAAATCAATATTTTTAGCATAGGAAGGGAAATTTAATTCTTGTTTGAAGTAATATGTAAATGAACTTTACGTTGAGGGTTTGAGGGAAATCTCTGAATCATGAGGGTATTGAAAAATGGTTAAAAATATACATTTAAGCTCTTATAAATAATGAAAAATTAGATATTAAATTTTAAGAGATTGATTTTGTATAATTTTAAAACATCCCATTGTGTACTTAGCAAGTGTTTAAAATGTATTTATTAAGCTGAAAGGAAAAGTGTAAGGGCAAATGGGTTAGGATTTTTTTAGCTGTTAGGTTTAATGTATTTTAAGAGAGTCAGCTTACAATGAGATACTACTCCATACCCACTATGGTGGTCATAATTTAAAATAAAAGTAACAAATATTGGCAAGGATATGGAGAAACTGGAATGCTCATACACTACTGGTAGAAATGTAAAGTGGTATAGCCACTCTGGGAAACAGGTGAGTGGTTCCTCAAACTGAATAGACCCCATAATTCCACTTGTAGGGGTATATATCCTAAGAAATTAAAAAGAGATGTTCAAACAAAGATTTGTATAATAATATTTGTAGCAGTATAGTTCAGTAGCAGAAAGGTGGAAATAATCTAAAAGTTCATCAAGCAGGTGAATAGATTTAAAAAAACAGTATATATTATAACATAGTATAGCATGGATAACCTTTGAAAACATGTTAAATAAGAGAAGCTAAATAGAAAAAGGCAAGACAATGCTGTTTCTATTTAAGTGAAATAACCAGAAAACAGAAAGTAGATTAGTAGATGCTAGAACTTTAGAGTTAGGGTTGAAATAGGGAATAACTGCTTAATAGCTACTAAGGTTTATTCAGACTGATGATAAAGTTCTGGAACTAGACAGTTGTGATGGTTGTATAACATGTGAATGTACTTAAAGCTACTGGATTGGACACTTCAAAATGATGGTTAAATGCTAAATTTTATGTTTTGTACATATTATCACAAAATTATAAACATATTTTGTAACTTTGGGCATGCTCTTACAATAAGAATATGAATTCTTGCATCTAGGACTTTCTGGTGTTCATTGTACTTCTATTTTCATTCTGGGTCAATTTCTTCAGTGTTAAATATATGTGATATGCAAGATAATTTAAGGTAACAAGTATATTATTGCTTAGAGTAAGGATAAGAAAAAAATGAACAGATTTACTAGACGAAAAGCAAATATTGCAAGATTATGATCCTTAAAGCAAATGAAATTTATTCAGTGCAGTTTCTGAAATTCTGGGTAGTCTCAACTCTTAAATTTTTCTGATGGATTCAGTTTAGATTGTGATCACTAAGGAATCTTTGTCATGTCTATACTTTATTATAATCTGGTACTTGAAAAGGGAAAATGAAAAAATGATTTTTAGTTCTGACTCTTTGTTTGATATCCTAGCAAAAACTGATCCTAAAAGTGAAGAAGAAGAAAAGAGACGGATTGAGGCTCGGCGAGAGAAACAAAGGCGCAGAAGAGAAAAAAACAGTGAGAAATATGGAGATGGATACAGGTTTGTTTTTTGTTTTGTTTTGTTTTGGTAGCGGGGATTGAACTCAGGGGCACTTGACCACTGAGCCACATTCCCAGACCTATTTTGTATTTTACTTAGAGACAGGGTTTCACTGAGTTGCTTAGCGCCTCACCATTGCTGAGGCTGGCTTTGAACTATCGATCCTCCTATCTCAGCCTCCCCAGGCGCTGGGATTTCAGGCCTGTAGGTTTGTTTTAAGTAAAGTTACAAAAATAAAAAATGGGCTTACTGAAAAATAGTTTCCTGGTTAAGGCAAGTTTATGAATTGGAATATGAAAAAATTCTTAAAAGTCAAGTGAAAAAGTTTGATCAAAGATATATAGAATTTTTTGCTTTTTAATATTTATATGTAATCACCTATTAGTATAAGGAAAAAGATCCAATTCATAATGGTAATCCAAAAATATAAAATATATAGAAATAACAGTATTTTTAAAAAGAAATACTTGTTATAGAATTATTTAATAAATACTTGTTACAGAAGAAAACTATGAAGTTTTGAATTTTGGCTATACGGAGACATAATGATATTTTTGGATAGAAAATCTGATTATTACTGATATTTTTGGATCAGAGAGCTGATCCTGTTCTTAGCTGGGTGTGGTGGCATAGCCTGTAATCCCAGTGACTCAGGAATGTGACGCAGGAGGATCACAAGTTTGAGATCAGCCGAGACAACTTAGTGAGACCTTCTCAAAAATGAAGAGGACCTGGGATATAAAAGGCACCTGAGTTCAAGTTCCAGTACCACCACCCCCACAACAAAATGAACCCAAATTATATAAGTTTTTTCTATCTAGATCCCAAAACAGATTCTGAAAAAGAAGAATAAATGAGTAGATATTGGCTTTTTTAGATATTGAGACTATTAAAAGTCTGTAGTAGTTTAAAATATATGGTAAGGCTGGGAATGTAGCCCAGTGCTGGAGTGCTTCCCTAGCATATGTGAGGCTCTGGATTCAATCTCTGGCGCCACACACACACACATACACACACACAAGTGGTAATAGGCTAATCAATATAATAATTAGTAGCTTGTAAACAGATTCCCTTATATGTAGGAATGTAAACTTGTAATAAAAACAAAAGGATTTGGTTAAGTAACAAAATAATAAGGAAAAAAATCAGTTTAGATTCTCGTTTACCATTTGGAATAAATCCAAATAGATTACTAAAAATAATGGGAAATTACAGGAAAATAATTGGAGTACTTTAATCTCTTCAGGTATAAATTTTTTCCCCTAATAAGTTTGTTGCTGAATAAGTTAATAAATGAGATAATGAACAAATTTGGCTAAATACAGACTTGCAAAACAAGCAGACAATCTTGAAAATATTATCATGGGAAATGTCCTATGTCTAAATTAGATAAAAATCATCTGATTTTTCTTTGGTAAAGATGTCATCCTGTGTTGTCCAGGCTGGTCTTAAAATCTTGGGCTCAAGTTGATCCTCCCACTTCAGCCTCTCAAGTAGCTGAGTTCAAACTTTTTTTAAAAAAGTTTGAGAACTAAGATGTCCAGTACTTAATGTGGTCAAGGAACAACAGTAGTTAATAACTTGTGGAGAAATGTTGAGACAGTAATTTAAGGAACCAAAAAATGCAAATAATAATATGCTATTTTATTAGTGAAGAGAACATATTTATTTGTGAACTAAGGTACAGTCGAAAGACACTTAAAATTCTGCTGCCACCAGGTGTATTGGCACAGCACTATAATCCCAGCTACTGAGGCAGAGAGATCACAAATTTGAGGTTAGTTTCAGCAACTTAGTGAAATCCTGTCTCAAAGTAAAATAAAAAGGGCAGGAGGTAGTTCAGTGACAGAATGCTTGCCTAGCATGCACAAGATTCTGGGTTCATTACCAAGTATTGAAAAAAAAATCTGTATAATGTTGTTACCATTGGAAAGCAATTAGCAGTTTCCTTCCTTCCTTCCTCCTTCTCTCCTTTCTTTCCTTCCCCTTTCTCTCTTCCCCTCCCCTCCCCTCCCTTCCATTTTTCTTTGTTTCTTTCGTCGTAAATTTCTCTGTACCCATTAACCTTTCCAAGAAAATAATATAAAAACATAGAGAGTGTAGTCTAAACATATGCCCATTGCAACACTTTTTTGTAATAGCTCTAAACAGGAAATAAAACCAACTATAGAAAGTGAGCAAGTTTTGACACATTCCTTTATGGGTTTTTAGGTTGTTAAAAATGAAGATGATAAAATTTATGATAGCATGGAGAAAAATGCAGGCAAAATAGAAAAATACATATATAAAATGCAAATTATGCATTGGAGAAAAGGACTAGTAGAAGTTTTTATTTTTATTTTTATTTTTTTTACCAAGTATAAAGGACTTATTTAATGACGTGGAATAACACTGAGGGTGCATGGAGTGGGCCACCTCCAAGAGAGAAAATGGGGCCTAGAATTTTTTTCAAAAAGACTATCATTGATCTTTTTTCCATCATTTTCTTTGCAGTCTTCTCATAAGGTTCTACTTATGCTAGGATATAAATTTTACAATGGAAATTCAGTAAATTTCCCATTTAGAATATATATTTGTTCTTTAAATGTTAACTTATTGGTGTAGCAAGAAGAGAAAGAAGTGTTTCACATAATTTTGTAAGTAACCAAAATTTCCTCTAAAAGAATTTAGAATTTGAGAAACTTTTAATATTAAGAGATCCTTTTTTAAAGAGTGGGTTTCTTCTATATTAAATAGGTAACTTTTTGTTAATCTTTGGTAATTATATAGGTATTAGTTTTATTTATGTAAAATGTGGAAATGAAAATTCAGTTATATCTGAAGACCCAGATTATTTTGTATTTGTCTGTTTTTTATTTTAGTCTGTTAATTATACTTGTGTAATATTTGTATCTAGCTTTAATAATCTATTCTTTTTTGATTTGTTGTTCCTGGGATTTGTTATTGGAATTTGAGTAATAATAAGATTAACCTTATTAAGAATTGATCCATAAAAAGAAGTTTTAGTTTTAAGAGGACTGCTGTTTTTGGTATTTATGAATATCTTTTCCACTCCTCATTTCTTATAATTCCTTCTTGCTACAGAGGTAATGGGCATAGTTATTTTAATATGGAAATGAATTAAAGTCAATACTTTGTATCAGATGTTTAGGAGTCAAAAGATGATTTAGCATTTTAAGATTAATTTTTATGTTTAATTAACCTAGGAGTATTTTCTTCATTAAATTATAGATTTGAATATGACATTCATGTTAATATAATAAATGTTGTGATTTGGAGAAAATCAAAGAACTCAACTTTCATTTAACTGTTTTCTTCATAACTATAAATAAAAACCTGATGATATAACCAATAGAATGTCAGTTCAATTAAGTTGTCATATTAGGATAAGAACCGTTTAAAATAACCCCAAATTATTTTAATTTACCAGAGCAGTTTTTCTCTGAGTTAGAAGTATTAGAGATTGACTGTAAATGACTACTATTCTTGTGATATGTTCCTTTGATTACTTGAATGTTCTTAATATAAAGAAGATGGAAATGTAACTATGTATATGTGCTTAAGGGAAACCAGGAAGAAAGGGATAGATGTGTGAGATGTATACAAATAATAGTATATGGTGAAGAGTGCAAGAAGATGTACAAGGTAGTTTTATGAGCAAGAACTTGTAAATAAGAGTGCAGGTAAATCATGGAAGTGGTATTTGTACTAATCTAGAAATGGTAGGATTGCAGGAGCTGTGAGAGGCAGTGTAGGTGGAGTGCTTGGCTTGAGATAAAAGCAAAGAAATGTGTGGGTTTTTTTTTTTTATATTCAGAAAATGAAAAGCTATATAGATTAAAGTGAGTACAGTAGGGCAAAAGGTATAATGTAATTTAAACATTTAATAAAGATATACTGTGTCCTAGATTCCATTAAAGGTATTGGTGTATAAAGTCAAAAAGAGGAAAGATTAGGCAGGCAGCTGAAAGCATTTTGACTTTGTTTTTTGATCGACAAGGAGCCATTCAAGTATTTGAGCAGTAATTGTGGTATTATCCAGATTAGGAAATAATAATAATTAATTGAACAATTGCTGTTTTAAGGACTTTATATGTAATAATTTTTCTTTTTTTAATCCTTATGGCATCTCTATGAGAAATCTCATTTCATAAAGATAAGAAAACTGAGCCAGAGTTAAATCATTTGCTCAATCTCACATAAGGGAGCCAGGATATAAACCCAGCATTTGACTCTAGAGCCCATAGTATGAACCAGGAAAATAAATCTAATAGCAGTGTGGGGAATTAATTGGAAAATGAAGATTGTGGTCAGAAACCATTTTGGAGACTATTGACATAATTCAAGGAAAAAGAAATGATATATTATGATAAAGTAGAAACAATGGGGAAATTCATTCTGATATGGCTCTTTAGCTTACAAATATATGCATTTGTCTAGGCCAGGCCTATTATTTTCCCTGAAATGTTGTATAGTGAGTAGAACTTTTGATCATCCAAGAGTTACATTGTTTGGCTTGCTACCTGGCTTTGTTGATGATACAAATGTAAAATAAGTTGTAGAACTTTGGAATTTAATAGTCCTCTGTTTGCTTTGGCCTTTTAATTGTATTAATTCCAAGGTGGGCCAGAAATGAAAAATGGTATAATAACAGTGCTGTCCAAATAGGTAAAAGAAAGACTATATTTTTCTGACTTAAGTTAAATTCAAATAAGTCATAAAATGGAAAAATAGGAAATGATTTATGTGGTAAAATTAGTTTCATTGGTGTATTCTCTAAGAGGAAATGGTAATATTTAAAGAAAAACTTTTTTTCTTCATAGAATGGCATTCACATGCTCATTTTGCAAATTTCGAACCTTTGAAGAAAAAGATATCGAACTGCATCTGGAAAGTTCTTCACACCAAGAAACATTAGATCATATTCAGAAACAAACCAAATTTGACAAAGTTGTTATGGAGTTTTTGCATGTAAGTAGCTGTTTTTGAGGCGATAAGCACTTTTATCTGATCTGAATTATCTTATTTCTTTTTTTATAGTTTCCCACCTTTTCTATGTTTCTGAAAATTTAATAATTAACTTTATTGAGAGAAAGGTATTAAAATTAACCCAGAATTAGATGTGAATTCTTCTGTAATAGAGTTTGGATTTGGTATTTGGAAAACCATTTTACATTTCTCACAGAAATGGCAGAAGTGTCAGAAAAGTAATTGCTTTACACTGTTTGTTCATGTAGTTTCAGCTATCATCCACTGTGTATACATGTGGTTGCCACTTTAATTCATTATTTCAGTTGAACCTTATAGCAACTCATTTTTATCATAATTGGAAGATCATGCTCAGAGCAGCTAAAGATCCTGTCAGAGGCAAAGAACCTAGTTGTTTTAGTCAGCTTTTTTACTGCTATGACCAGAAGTCCTGACAAGAACAATTAGAGGAGGAAAAGTTTATTTTGGGGTTCCCAGTTTCAGAGGTCTCAATCCATAGACAGCTGGCTCCATTCTTTGAGGCTCCATGTGAGGCAGAACATTGTGGTAGCAAAAAGCGTGGCAGAGGAAAGCAGCTCAGGACACTGGGAAGTAGAGAAAGAGAGCTCCACTCAGCAAGGACAAAATATATTACCTCAAAGGCATGTCCCCAGTGACCTATCTCCTCCAGCCAAACTTTACCTACCTACAGTTACCACCCAGTTAATCCCTATCAGGGAATCAATACTCTAATCTGATTAGGTCAAGACTCTCATAACCCAATTATTTCCTCTGAACTTCCTTGCATTGTCTCACATATGAGCTTTTGGGGGACAACTCATATCCAAACCATCATCCTTTATATTATCAGTATGTAGTCATGCATTTTTTTTGTTTGTTTGTTTTTTAATTTCTATGGAAGATGCTGTCACTCACTGAAGACTAGAGATACCACTCTTAATGCAACAATAATAGAACATATTGACAGATAAATAGATGATACATTTAAGAATAAATGGCAATAGTTCAGAAGTACAGTAAGGGCTTGGGCAAGAGAAAAGTTGTTGGGACCAGGAATGCAGACAGAAGAGGCTTGAGCTGAACTGGTAATTGTACAGAAAACAGATTTAGACAGGAGTGATAAAAATTATTAGAGGATTAGAAATACAGTGATCATTCAGACCTTGCAGAATTGTGTCCCTTAATTACAATTTCTTTCTGAGGGGCTGGGGATATAACTCATTTGGTAGAGTGCTTGCCTCACATGCACAAGGCCCTGGGTTCAAACCCAAGCACCATAAACAAACAACAACAACAAAAATCTTTATGTAATTTCTTTCCTCAGTGGGTTGCTATCTGTCACTTACGACTTAAATATGCATTTACCTAAGAAGCCCTCTTCACTATTTCAGCTGTCTTTGATTTTTTTCTCTATGTGTAAAATACATTTTGAAAAGTCAATACTTTTTGTAATTTTTTAGTATTTTATGATAGCCTACTCACCTAAATTGTAAGCTGCTTATGAACAGATATTAATTCTTATAGAGCAGGTATTGTGTCTTCAATAAGATGAGCATGGTGCTAAGCATATACTGAAGTGCTTATTGAGAACTGTTTGGATTCTTTTTTATTTTCTAGGAATGCATGGTGAATAAATTTAAGAAAACATCTATTCGTAAACAACAGACAAATAATCAAACAGAGGTTGTCAAAATAATTGAAAAAGATGTTATGGAAGGTAAGTAGGCAAATTGTTTTAGGAAATTTACATGTATATTTAACATAACTTTTTTATCATAAATGATAGCTTTCTTGTTCTCCCCTACAAAATGATATAGCACATAATTAAATATTTGCTTGCCTTTGTGGGTTAACAGAAGTGAATTTTGATTTCCTGTTTCAGTGCTTACAAATTTATTATTACCTACTATTGCCTCCTTCATTTGAGTTTATAAGAAAATTCATCTTTTCCTGTAATTCCTTCTGAACTCCAGTCTTATTTGTCCAACTGCCTACAGACATCTCTTCATTAGTTAGACAAAATCAATATATCCAAAACAATTTTCTCATTTATTTCAGCATATGCCCCCTGCAGAGAAAACAAAACAAAAACCCACTAATATCCTTCATTTATCTTGAAAAGTAGTCCTACCGTCTACCAAAACCAGAAGTATGGAGTTAATTTAAGATACCTTTTCCCTTCTGTGTTTGTAGCACTATTTCTTATAGGTTCTATCTTGAATATTTACTAAGTCTGTTCCTTAACCTCTCCTTTAGATTTTGCTTTTATTGAAATCCGTACCTGTTCTCTTGATAGTTGTAGTATTTTCCTAACTAGTTTTCTTACTTCCAGTCTTTAATATTTCTAATTCTGTGTAATCTTATTATTTCAGAAAATTGCAGTGGTTCTCCATTCTCTACACTTTAAAGTTCAAATTCCTAGACATGGCACACAAATATCTTTTAAACCTAGGCCCTTTTTAGTTTTTCTGTTCTCATCTTTTGTCCCTTAATTATAGTCTGTGCCCTAGTTATACTAAATTGCTTGCAATTCTTAGAAAATCTGCTATTTTCTCTATGGTTAGCAGAGACCCCAGTGCTCAGATCCTGCTTGTGATTTTGTTTATGACTTATGTTCTCTTTTCTACTTGTTTGTAATCCCTGACAAAATCAGATTTGATGGTGGGGCCAATAAGGCAAATAGTATTTACATAATGTTGTTATTAAAGTAGTAAGTTTTAAAATTTTAGTAAAAATAATTAAAAATGTATCTTGAGCATACACACAAAATATCCCTTGCATATATTTATACCTTTCCTTGAAATAAATTCTAATCATTTTCAAGATCTAAAAAAATATATTTTCCCCTTAAGAATCAAATGTTGACATCCTTTTTCCTCTCCCTACCCACCCATATTTATAATCATGAAAAATTCTTATTTTATTACAAAATCAACTTTGTTTTCGTTTATATTTTGGGGAAGATAGATTTATAGGCCTCAGAGTATGAGTGTATAACATGATTAGGAAGTACAATGTAATTGCACCTTGTAATTTTAACCAGTTATCTACATATCTAAAAAATCTGTAGATTTATGAGATGTGTTAAAAATCTCAACATAAACCTATATACTCTTATCCTTCTTGTGGTAAAAGGGGTACAAATGGTTATGAAAACTAAGCAGTAGAGTTGATTTGCCAGAAAAAAGAATATATTAGTTTTTTAATGATAGGATTTGTTTTATAGGTGTTACCGCAGATGACCACATGATGAAAGTAGAGACTGTTCACTGCAGTGCTTGCAGTGTGTACATTCCTGCTTTACACAGTTCAGTTCAGCAACACTTAAAATCTCCTGATCATATCAAAGGGAAACAGGTAAGTTTTGATCTATCTTAAAATCCTTGAAATTTCTCAGTCCTTTATTATCTTTTGGCCATTGTTTTGTAACTATCTTTCTACATATAATACTATTAATCTCAAATGAGAATAATTAAAAGTATACTCATAGAAGCAGCATTGTATATTGGTTAAGACTGTGGGCTCTGGAACAAGACTTTCAGGGTTTAAATCCTCAATCAGTATGTAACAAGTAAATTAATCTTTCTATGTTTCCTTATATATAAGGAAATAGGAGGGATAATGATTCTCTCTAATAAGATTATTTAAGGATTAAATAAATTAAAACATCTAAGGTAATTAAAATGGTGTCTAGTTACAGTAAGCATTGAGAAAATCAATTGTTGAACTTTTTTTTTAATAGTTGATGCAAAATGTTTTTGTGAGAATAGGCATGTGTTTTAGAATAAAAATGAGTAAAGATTATAACTGATACATTTTCTGGTGGTTATGAAAAATAAATTTAAAAATTAAGATGATCAGTTACTGTCTACTGTTTTTATTTTTTGAGAAGAATATCCTGGAAAATTTTTAGCTTATTTCTTCTGCATATTGGCTGTTGTTTTGGGGGTCAGATTTACTTCAAACAACACAAATGTTAATGTAGTAGGAAATTAACTCATTTGAGAACTAGGTTTAAAGATTCATATATTAAAGCTCTTAAGTTTTAAATAGAGGATACCTGTCTCTTAAATTCATATTTTGTATTGAAGTGAACTTCATTTAACTCAGACTTCTATATGCAGTTTGAACACATAATAGTGTTTTCTTAATCTTTGCCCTTTCCCCTGCCCCTGATAATTCTTTGATGCTTTTTGTAGCCAAACATTTTATATTATTACCTTTTCTTCTCTGCTTAATACATTATTGTGATACCTGTAGCCTAGAGGAAGACTAATTAGTTACTCTTGTGGTATGAAAAATATTCTTTCACAAGAGGTGAGGGCGGGGAGGGAGGAGTTGGAGGTTCACTGGATTGGACAAGGAGGTTTGGGGAATGTGAGGGGGATGGGAATGGGAGAGATAGTTAATGAATTGGACATAACTTTCCTATGTTCATACATGAATATACAATCAGTATAACTCCACATTATGTTCAACCACAATAATGGGAAGTTATACTCCATTTGTGTATGATATGTCAGAATACATTCTACTGTCATGTATAACTAAAAAGAACAAACACAGAATTAAAAAGTATATTCATTAATAAAAAATTATATTCATTGAGATAGCATGAAAATTAGTATTTGGGCTGAAAGATGACTTAGAGAGGAGAGAGCAACTGTCTAGTACATCTAGATTTATAGTGTTTAGGGATTTATTGTTTTTATTGAAACTAATTGGCTTATGAATCTTCATTGTTTTAAGTTCATAATCCATTAAATCAGTTAATGTTTAGTCCATATTAATCTTTATTATTTAATTTAGATTATGATCCCAATAGCTATTGCTCTATAGTTTTATTTGCCATAAGAGAAATCATTTAAATTTAAGGATTTGAGCATGAATGTTTTTAGTTATACAAGCACTTTTTATGGCATGACATTCTAACCTTCAAATGTATTCTGTTTTCCATAGGCTTATAAGGAACAAATAAAAAGAGAGAGTGTCTTGACTGCCACAAGCATTTTAAATAATCCAATAGTGAAGGCACGATACGAACGATTTGTTAAGGTAAGATTTAGGGGCAAAAGTTTTTTAGGAAATACTGTAGTATAGTAGTAATTAAAAGTGACACCATAGTAACTTTTTGTGATATTTAAATACAGTACAAATTGGGTACCCTGACCCACTTTACTACTCAGGGTTTTCGTCATATGTTACTGCTTGACTCCTTCTTTACACAGAATTTCTTCAAATAGTTTTTGTACAAACATGAACTCACACATACTGTTTTTCAGGAAATTAATAAACAAATTTTACAGGTTAGTTTTTGAGTATTTACAGAATATTTAAAATCATTCTGCACTAATGAGACCTGTTATATTGAAGATTTACAAAAGTCTGTTATTTGCATTTAGTAAATCTTTATAGAATAAAGAAGTTTATTTTGGCTTTTGTGGTGATTCACAGCTCACTACTCTTGTGAAAAGCCTGATATATTTAATGGCTATTAACTATTATCAAGCGACTTCCAAGCTGAATAATCTCAGTTCTTTTGATTTATTCCTCAAGGGCCATTTTCTAATTCTAATTAATTGTGCTTGTTGCTGTTCACTACTTTCTTGACACTATTAAAAAAAAAAAAGGCAGCTGTGAATTGAAATGTTAATTTTTTGGGGGAGGTATGGCATCAAAAAGACAGAAGCTTAAAAGGATAATAGCTAAATGAGGAAAAATTAGATTTTTATCCTTGCTTTATCACAAAGTTTCAAGAAGTTAGTGATTTCTGTTGTTGAATGAATTTCTAATGAAGAAAATATAAATTAGGAGTTTCTACATAGGGTTTTCAGGCTATCCAATTGAGTCACTTCACGGAATGGGAGACATCACTGGTGGAAGTGTTTTGCTTATGTGCATATTGTGGAGAAAACACCTGAACTGAAGAGATCTCTAGAACTTCAAATATGATCTCTAGATCAGCATTCTAGACATCACCTTGGAGCTCATTAGAAATTCAGAATTTTAAATCTTATTATGCCTACAGAGTAAGGAGTAAGAATCTTCATTTAGCATGAACCCATTTGATTCATATGCATGCTAAAATTCAAGAAGCACTAGAATCACATTCCTCATTGATTTGCCTTTGTTCAGCATTTCTGTCTGTGATGTTCCTTGTCATTCCTGAGAACATCCTCTGCTCTTAATAGCTTTTGTCATGGCTTAAACCTCTTTTACCTTCAGTTGCTTTCACCCTGAGAAAAATACCTTTTTTAAATCTTTGACCCCATCAAGACAATCAGTTCATCAGTTTATTTTCCAGTTATATCATTATGTTCTACCTTTACTTCCTTCCTTGGACATTCATGGTCAACCATTTCAACAAGCAATAGTGCTCTACAATTGCTTATTTGTTCTTCAACTGCTTACCAGTTCCCAGCATTTAGCTACCTCTAGTTAGCTAAACTATGTATCATGGAGCTGGGTACAGTTGCATGGGATCTGTATTCCCAGCTACTCAGGAAGTTGAGGCTGGAGGATCATTTGAACCCAGGTGTACAAGGCCATCCTGGGCAATACAACAAGTTTCTGCCTAAAAAATGAAGAGAAAAGAAAAAAACCCATGCTATTGTGTCAATCCTGTTTGCCAGTTTTTCACTCAGTAATTTTACTTATTAATTATCAATATTGTATCTTCTGTAGTGGACATTCTAAACTCTTTTTCATTCTTCATATGTTCTATATTTCATCTTTATTTTCCTTACTTCCATGTTCTTTTCTCTTTTGTTAGGGAGATTAAGATTATTAGAAATGAGTTTATGCCTTCGATTTTTGTACCTTTTCTTTTTATCTTTTTTGTTATCAGTGAGGAAAATATTCTTTTTTGACCTTCATCTATGTTCTTCTTTTACCATTATCTTTTCTCATTTTACCCATTATTTCTTATTTTACCCCTTATCTCTTGTTTTACGTTGCTTGCATCTGATTTTTACTTTGCTTATTATTTTATTTTCTGTTTTTATAAGCAGACATCCTTATGAGTTCTCCAAACTAAAAATGACTTTATTTTCCTGAATTTTAGCCCTCCCCATATTAGTGTTTCTTCTCATCTGACTGTACTTGAAAATATTGTTTTGTGTTGTGCTATTTACTTCTTATAATTCACTCTTTAACTGAGTAGTTCTCACCAGGAGGAATGAAATCAGAATCACCTATGAGGGTATGATCAAGTAAAAAGTTTCAAGGCCTTTTTTTCAGATCTTCTGAATTAAGGTTTCCTCAAACTTTTCATATTAACATTTTATGAAATGCTGCTCAAATATACAGGTTACCTTCTACCCTGGAAATTTTGATTCAGGAGGTCTGAAACTGATTCAGAAATTAGTGTTTTTAGTAAGATCTCTAATACTTGTCAATTAAAATATTGAGTGTGGACCAAGGCGTCTGGATTTTGTGAATTTCACTGGGAATTATGAAGATGGAGTCTTTGAAAACTTACTATTCAAACTCCCGTGTGTGAGTGTGTGTATGTTTTGTGTATTTTTTTTTCCTTTTGTTTTGGTAGTGCTGGGGATTGAACCTGGGGCCTTTTGCATGCTAGGTAGTGAGCCACACTGAGCCACATCCCAGCCCTGTGTTACACTTTTGAAACTGCTTCTCCTAAGATTACCAGTGACCCAATTATTAAATCCATTGGCCTTTAAAAAATTAACATACTATGGTTTATTTAAAATGGAAAAGTAAACAGTTGGGAACCCTTATTCAGCTTTAATAAGTGATTGGCTTTCATGAAATTTTTTAGTCCTTTTGTTACTTTTATTTGTGTTCTTTTTTGACACTGCTGATTAATCACAATTTTTCTTGAAACTCTTTTGGCAGACAATATTTTACTATCATGGGTTCTTCTGTACTGAACAGTTCCTCTCTTCTGACTTGTACCCTCACATATAGGCATTTTCATACGTTCTCTCTCAAATTTTGAGTTGCAAGTTCACAACTGCTTGCACCCAATTCTCCTCTCCCTGCTCTAATTTACCTATTTTTTTATGTTGTCACATCTTTTATGTTGTCCTTTTCTGGATTATTAGTGTAGCCCCCTCATTAGTATTTCTTTTTCACTTTTCTTTTATTCTCCTTTTTTGACAGTGGGTATTGAACATAGGGCCTCCTAAGCACATGCTGTACTACTGAGCTACACTCACAGTCTGAGTATTTCTTCTGTTCCTTTCTGGATATCAGTCCTAATATTTTCCTGTTTAATAACTTTTACTGCCTCTCTATTTCTTACTACATTAATATATGGTCTTGTGATATGGTCCAACTTATATGAAGTTTGAGTCAGGTATATAATTGCTAAAATTATTCCTATGAATGTTTACTGAATTAAAGACTTGTCTATTTTTAATTTATTATTATTATTTTTAATGACCTATGCTCATTTTTGCTTTTGTTCATTTATTTGAGTTAAGTTTTCATTGGTGCATTGTAACTATACACAATAGTGGGTGTCTATTTTTTAAAGTAGAAAGAAATCATGGTATCTGGTAGGTAAAACAAGGTACTCAGTTTTCATTTCAGATTTAAAAAGACCCTACAATAATAGTAGGTGATTAGTTATTTAAGATGCACAACTGTGTATTCTCTGTTTCTACCAAAACCTGCATATTTGCCTTTGTCTTTCACATATAATTTTAGAAATTCAGTTAAGAAGAAAATATGATTTTGGGGCTGGGTTTGTAGCTCAGTGGTAGAGCATTCGCTCCCTAAATGTGAGGCACTGGGTTCAATCCTCAGCACCACATAAAAATAAAATAAAGGTATGTGTCCATCTACAACTAAAAAAAAAAATATTTAAAAAAAGAAGAAAATATGACTTTTAAATATTCTAGTTTGTGGAGTGCAAAATAGTGACTTAAGTATGGAGTTCTGAAATAGATATGAACATAGATTTAATGGACTTTTCATAAGTGAAAAAAACTACAGATAGTATTTTTCATGATACAGCAAATAAAAATTTCACTGATGGAAAAAACAAATGTGCTGATTTTAAAAGGCATTACTCATGTTTTTAGGGTGAGAATCCTTTTGAAATTCAAGATCATTCTCAGGATCAGCAAATAGAAGGAGATGAAGAGGATGAAGAAAAGATTGATGAACCCATTGAAGAAGAGGAGGATGAAGAGGAGGAAGAAGAAGCAGAAGAAGTGGGGGAAGCAGAGGAAGTGGAAGAAGTAGAGGATGTGGGAGAAGTTGGAGGAATAGAGGGAGAGGGGGATGTAGAGGGAGGGGAGGAAATAGGGACAGTGGGGGAAGATGGGGCAGTAGGGGAAGTAGAGGGAGCTGCAGAAGCAGATGAAGTGGAGGAAGAGGCAAAGGAAGAACCTGTTGACTTCCCTGTTGAGCAACCTGAAGAAAATTAAATATAAGGTAGTAGATTTAAAAGAAGCTTTAAATTTTTGTCCTAATGTGGAAAAGGGTAAGAATTTTAATAGCTTAAAATATGAATTAACATACATGTTGCATGCATTCCACCCATTAAAATTTGTTTTATATAATTTGTACATGTTTGGTATTTGTTTAATAAAATGAAGGTAAGACTAATTTAGTTTTTATAGCTATCAAACTTAGATCTGATAAATGTATAATTTTTAAGCTTAATTTTTATTACTTTATTATTGGTGTTAAGGATAATAGATGTGTATTATTAGTATATCTATTCTAATCATTTGAACTTAAAAGCTGCTCTTGAGTGAATTTTCAAATGTGCATTGATTTTTTTGAATACTTACCCTAGAAGAGATAAATTGGGCAAGAATTTTGTGCTCTGTGTATTTTTTTACTGTATTGGACATTGACTAGTAATTTGCGTTAAGATAGCTTAAAAGCTTTTTGTGTACATGTTTCCCTTTGTAGTAATAAAATGTTTTTTTTTTTTTTTTTTTTTTTTTTTTTTTTTACAAAATCTTTATCCTTGGATTAGCAATTTAAATGAATTGGTTTATCATTGAAATTAGTATCTAAAAATCAGTATTTGCTCTAATGTATGAGTTTAGCTTGCAAGGATTTCAAGATGATTGAGAAGACTTGAATTAAAGAAAAATATTTCTCAGTCATATTTTTAAAAAGTGTGACTAAAATATATTTTTAAGCATATTTCAAAGAGAGGTCAGTGTGTGACTGACTTTGTTTATACTTGTTTTAGTTTTTTCCTTTTGTTTCTGCCTGTGTCAAATTTTGAAATCTTCTTGAAGATACATTTGAATGCAAGTTAAGTGTGCCAGTTTTAGTTTTTTTTTAAAAACTTTATTTATTTTTTTATGTGGTGCTGAGGATCGAACCCAGTGCCTCAACCGTTCTAGGCAAGTGCTCCACCACTGAGCTACAGCCCCAGCCCCAGTTTTAGTTCTTTTATCGTGGCTGTTTTTGCCTAAAGAACCAAGAAGCAAACTATTTTTTTTTTAATTCTTTCTCTTTCATATATTCTCTTTTTAACTTATGTTTTGTATACCTATATATTCTACAAGAGAACATAAAACTGGTAGATATCTACTCTTCAGTCATTTATTTTCAAATGACAGTGTGTATGTCTCACTGAAAATCAGTGCTCTTACAAATCTTATATGAATCTTTTGTGAACATGAATTGAAAGAGCAGCATCTTTAAATCTTTATTCTGGGTTCAATTTTAGTGAAATTAGCTTTTCAAAAATTTGAGGCAATTGTATAAATGTACCATGTATTAGATAATAAGGCATTAAGTAGATGAATGTATGGGCATTTGTAGAATTTCACAGATAATATCTCTTTGTATAAAACAAGGCTTTTAAAACTAGATTTTCCTGGACCATTGTGATTTTTTTAAAATGGTGAACTAGTTTTGCTTACCTTTAAGTTGGAAAAATTCAGTATTAGATATTAAATATTTGGAGCCAATCAAGAGAAGGGAATTCATATTTACTTAGTGGAAAACCTGTTTTGCTCAGGAGTTCATATTTTAACATAGTAGGACTTGATCAACCTTCTTAATTCTTTATTTCAAAATAATTGTGTAAAGGCTAAGGTAAAAGAATAATAGATTTCTCTGGGTTATTATTAGTATTTAGTTTTTTTGACACTAACTTGGGATTTTAAAATATCATGTCTCTAATCAGATTAAGATATGAAACTCTTTTAGAAGAGTCCTCTATAATAAGAATTCAGTGTAACAACTTTCAGGTTAATGTTTTAGAGTGAGAGGAGGCAGGAGATAAGTAGTAATTTTTATGGAAGGCTTAAGGCTTTATACAGAATAGCTTATTTACAAAGTAGTAATAAAATATATCTTGTTATTATACTTAATTTAGAAATTCAAGTTCATGTATTTTCCAGTGGATAATTTGTAGATTTGTAGTTTGCAGGCAGATTAATTTTTGTGATCCCCTTAGTGTTTATATCTTCATTGCTTTTATAAAAAGAATTTGTGTAAGAACTTTAACAGTCTTTCAACTTCTGATTTCTAAGCATTACTTGTTTTTTTTTTTTTTTTAAAGAGAGAGAGAGAGAGAGATTTTTTTTTTTATATTTATTTTTTAGTTTTCTGCGGACACAACATCTTTGTTTGTATGTGGTGCTGAGGATCGAACCCGGGCTGCACGAATGCCAGGTGAATGCGCTACCGATTGAGCCACATCCCTAGCCCCCGCATTACTTGTTTTCTTGATTAAAAAAGAAAGAAGTGGGCTCGAATTGTGGCTCAGTGGTAGAATGCTTGCCTAGCATGTGTGGGATACTGGGTTCGATTCTCAGCACCACATATAAGTAAGTAAATAAAGGTCAGTCAACAACTAAAAAAAATGTAGTTTAGTTCTAATAACCAAAGAAATTATGTTCCATATAATTGTATGAATTATGTTGCTAGGGACCATCCTGTAGTCTTCTTTTTTTATTGTTTTCTACATCTGATCTATCAGGTAGTCTTGTCTATTCTACTTCCAGAATTTATCTGCATGCTTTTTTAAAAATCTGCTGCTATTACCCAATTGAAATCATCATCGTCTTTGCTGGATAGCCAAAATAGCTTATAACTAATCTTGTTTTCACTCTTAACTCTGCTAGACTTAGTTTTCTACACAGATTAAAAGTATAATTTTTTATTTTAATTATTTTTTGTAGAGGGGATTGAACCCAGGGGCACTTAAGCACTGAGCCACACCCCAAGCCCTTTAGCACCTTGCTAAATTACTAAGGTTGACTTTGAACAGCCACTGGGATTACAAGTGTGTGCCACCATGCCCAGCCACACAAAGTATAATCTTTTAAAAACATAATTCAGGGGCTAGGGATGTGGCTCAAGTGGTAACGTGCTGGCCTGGCATGCGTGCGGCCCGGGTTCGATCCTCAGCACCACATACAAAGATGTTGTGTCCGCTGAGAACTAAAAAATAAATATTAAAACATTCTCTCTCTCCCACTCTCTTTTAAAAAAAAAAAAAAAAGACATAATTCAGGTAGTGCTAGTCTCTTCTGTTTGGACCTGTGCAATCCCAACTCCTTATGGTGACCAGTCCTGGCCTAGGTTTCTAGCTTCATATTATGCCATTCTTTTCACCAGCCATGATGGCCTTCTGTTTCTTTTTGATGAAGCTCTTCTCTTCAGAGACCTTTCACATTTTTTTGTAGCCTTTACCTGACAGCTCTCTTTGGCTGACTCTTCCTTCTTACCATCACCTAAAATGTTAGAAAGGGGCAGTAGTTCTTAAAATTTTTGTAGAGTTAAGGATTTGGAGTGCCACCCCAAAATGACTAAAGAGTATTTTCTTTGGAAGTAATGTTTTGTTTTTTTTTTTTTTGCAGGGGGAGTACCAGGGATTGAACTCAGGGACACTCAACCCCTGAGCCACATCCCCAGCCCTATTCTGTATTTTTTATTTTATTTAGAGACAGGGTCTGATAGAGTTGCTGAATGCCTTCCCATTGCTGAGACTGGCTTTGATGTCACAATCCTCCTACCTCAGCCACCTGAGCTGCTGAGATTATAGGTGTGCACCACAGCACCCAGCTGGAAGCTATGTATTTTTAATAAGTATTCCATGCGATTCTGAAGGTAGTGGCAAGTGATTGCAATTTTAGAATATTAATAGGGCCCTCAAGTAAATTTCTGGTACCTATGACTCTCATATCAAAGCAGGAGCTTTGGTCCTGCATGGGTTTGGGGATTCTTCATAATAGCTTACGGAAGCTTTGGAATGATCTGTAACCGACCTGTAGGAGTCAGAACCCTATCCCCCCTTTAAATTTAATCCATCATATTGTAAAGTCAGTAGTAGGACTAGTAGTTTTTTTCCATGTAACAAGATCTCTCTTGTATACATGACAGAAAAAAGAACTACAAAGGCAATATTAGTATATTTTAAAACATTTGAATGAGAGGGAGTGGTTATAGTGTTGTAACCAGATTTTTAAACGACTAGTTAATTACTCTAGTTACTGGCTCAGAGCTGCTAGTCTACAGAATCCCTCCATGGTAAAGCCATAACATTTCTTGCTGTTTACCAAATAAACTGAGACACAGAGCATATATGGAGAGAGTGAGTGGGTATGTGTGTGTGTATATCAGAATATGCCAGTTCCCCTGGTGTTTTGTGAATACTAGAGGGCTTTGATTCCTCATATTTCCACAACCAACCAACCTGCTAGCTGTCTGTTTTCCAATTTTTCTACTGACAATTCTTACTTCCTTGCAAAATTAAAATGCTAGATTTCTTGCAATAAAAACCTGCCGGGGAATTTTTTCACTCAAGCTGGGAAAAATTAGGTAATGCTGAAAAAAATATAGTGGTTAGAAAATTACCATTTGCAGGCCTTTAACTGCCTGTATTTGTATAGATTTTTGTATCCGGAAAGGGCTGGATAAAACCAAAACAAAGAACGTGTGAATCATACTGTATGTGGATCTCAAAGCCTAATCTTTACAGTAAAGATTTACTGATCAGTAAAGTGTCTTGCAAATAGAGACACACAACCAGGAAACAACACTTAGGAAGGAGCAACATGAAAGATAGGTGACATATATAAGCAGAGTGAATTCTTGGGGAAACAATGCAGGGGAAAAAAGTATAATTAGTATTATATGAAGTAATTAGTACTAATTATAATTTTGAACTAAAGGAATCTTCCAAGAAAAGATTAAATAAATGAAAATTATGAGAAAAGATAGGGAAGATGCTGGAAAACACCATCCACTTAAAATTAAACTTTCAGAAATTAGGAACATGGAATTTAGCATTGAAGATCTTGATTATATCACAGTGCCAGGCACATGGTAAGTGTACAGTAAGTATTTTTGGACAAATGGATGTGTGTATGTTTAGATAGGAGTTTCAAATGGTGAAAAAAAAGGAAAAATTTTTGGTGAAAGAAAAGAAAAAGCTGAAGGTAAGCAAAAACAATGAAAATGGAGTCATATAGGATAAATCCTGTTAAAATTTCTGTAATCTCAGGATAAAGAGAAAAATCTCAGTGTCTGAAGAGAAACATTTTTTCATTCTCAGACTTCTGTGTGTTGGGATGCTGAAGGATACTGCTATTTTTAAGGTTACAAAGGAAAATTATTTTAAATTTAGAATTCAACCTTAGGTCAAACTACCAACCGAGAATGAAGACACAAAAAGGACATTTTAGCAGTTGTAGAATGTGCGAGAATTCCAGAAATAACTGTCAAAACCTATTTGCTAAATAACATCAAATTATATAAAGAAAATTTTGGATAAACAAGGAGATACTGACATTTGCCATCATAGCTAAATAGTTGAACATAGCTCTCAGAAGTTGTCAGTTCAAAATTGAGGAAACAGAATTTTGAATGTGAATTTTAGTAATTATAGACTATATATTTCTTTTCAAACACCTTGAAAAAATGATCATGAAAGTGGGCCACAAAAAGAATTTTTGTTAGGTAAAATCAGGTTTCATCCTGTCATTACAGTGCAATAAAATGATTGACAAGTGGGTAGCAATTAACTGATTATCAAATCCAGTCAGTCATAAAAGTGTCCTTGCAGTGCTCACATTTAAAAGGAAATAAAAACTTAGAAAGATTTTTAAAAATTTAAGTCTATTATACAAGATCTTGAAACAACTCAGTTTAGTCTCAGAAACTAACATGTTCGTATTCTAGGATAATATTCATTAAAGAAACTATACACGTACCAGTCTTTCTTAGGAACAGATAGAATCATTGGAAAACGTTACCAATTAAAGAATTGTGTCAAGGGCTGGGGATGTGGCTCAAGCGGTAGTGCACTCGCCTGGCATGCGTGCGGCCCAGGTTCGATCCTCAGCACCACATACCAACAAAGATGTTGTGTCCTCTGAGAACTAAAAAATAAATATTAAAAATTCTCTCTCTCCTCTCTCACTCTCTTTAAAAAAAAAAAGAATTGTGTCAAGGCAAAGAAAGCAACATAACATGACAGTCCTTTAGAAAACAATACTATAATTTAAAAAACATTAAGTAGGGAAAAATAATGACTATTTTGATGGATGATGAAAAAACACATTTAACACTTAAATTTTGATTAGTTTTTTTTCCAGGATAGGTTTCCTTTAAACCTTTTTAATATGGATAAGTAGGTCTATCAGAAAGCTTCAGCAAACATTCAAGTTCATGGCAGGATCAAAACAGTGAAGGCTGTTAGCAATATGAAGATTGTTTAACCCTAAGAAACATTAGGAAGAGACATCACAGTCACTGTTTCAGGCGCATGACTGGAGACAGAACATCCAAGGGAATCAGTTGAAAAAGTATAGAATAACAAAAGGTAGTTTTGTGTGATAGTTCAACAAATAAAACTCTT